CAGGATGTCTACATCTGGATCTACCTCGGGTATCGCTTTCGAAAGTGTCTGCAAGTGCGGGTGATGAGCAGCCACGTGAGGGCTTGGTATCTCTCCTTTGCTTTCTGGAATCTCGTTGCATTCCAGAAGAGTTGGCAGTGGGATACTGATTGCACCATTACGCGATTCTATGACCAGGTGATTTGCCCTGCGGCCTACAGCGTTGGATTTACCAGAGCAGGTGTTCAATGTATATGGAAATTATATATGTATATTATGTATATGGATATTATATAATGTATATTGCATCTCCCTTAATGCCAAGCTTCTCAAACAGTTGTGATTTCGCTAAGGAGCGGTTGCTCTGATCATCCATGACGACGTATGTGCGAAGAGCAAGGTCGGGTCGATCTTTGTGATACACTTTAGCTAGGCATATCTTAGCACAGGACTTTGCTCCGATCCGGGACCCACATACTTCAGTACACGAGGTGGTGACGGTGTCTTCCTTTGACTCCCCGCCGTGCACTTGGGCGGCCTCTACTCTGTTGACCATGGGCGGTGTCGGCGGTCCTGGATGTAGTATGGCAAGGTGTCGATCGCTATCGCACTCTGTACATCTAACATGGGCTTTACAGCTTCTTGCCCTGTGTGATGTTGTGGCGACACATCTTAGACACAGTCCGGATTTCTTGATCAGATCCCGCCGTGTATCCAGATCTTTTCTCGGTAGCGAACGACAGTTAACTGCTGAATGCGAGCCCTTCTGGTGCAATGGACAGTTGCTGCTGCGGTCATGCAACAGATTACCTTGATATACCTCAGTTTTGCTAACCGAAATAGCTTGCCTGTGGTATCTCTGGCTAGATGGTCTGTACGGTGCCTGGGCCTCTGTAGGTTCTGTCAGGCGGACCGAGAAGCTAGGATCGCACCTCTCGGATGCAATGTCCCTCACAAACTTCACGAAGAATGTAAATGGAGGGAAGCGTCCGTCATTGACCTGCTTGTAGCGATGGGCTCGAGACCTCCATTTGTCTTGCAGCTCCTCAGGTAGCTTGCTTGATAACGGGTTGATGCCCATAAATGTGTCCAGATACTCGAGCCCTGGTAGGCTTGCATCTTCTTTAGCATACTCGAGCATCAGGAGCGCATCACCAAAATCCCTTAATGCTCCGTGGTCAGCCCTCATAATCTTCTTGTGGTTTTTCACCCTGCTGATCAAGGCGATCACGATTATTTCGGGTTGGCCAAAGTTTTCTTCGAGCCTTTTCCATGCTTCAGTGAGCCCAGTGGCTGGACGGTTGATATGAACTGCACGGATCCTTTTCACCAGCTCTGCCGACTTGGCTCCACACCATTTGACCAACAGGTCGAGCTCTTCGTTCGGGCTGAGCTGGACATGGTCCACCACGTTTCGAAACGATAACTTCCAGGGGCGGAAATTCTCCGGCGCATCGTCAAACTTCACTAACCCGGCCGCGATGAGATCGCGTTTTGTAAAATGCTGGAGCCACCCTTGAACTGCCTGGTCGGGGACATTACCACCTATGTGAGGAGGTGTCGTGGCATTGTGTGGCCTATGAAGGTTTTCCTGACCCATGGTCGACCTTATCTCGGGAGAATGACTGACGGCTTCACCACTCTCTGTCTCTGCATCCATTTCTGCTTCACCTTGGGTGGCATTACTGGAAAGGACGAAATCTTGCACCATGGCTCTCTTTGATATTTGAGGGATTCCGGACAACACTGAATCAATATCTAGCTCTCCGTTTGTGCGTAACTGCCCTGATGCAATGCTTTCTAAGGTGGAAAGTTGTGCTGAGAGCTCGGTCCGCTTCCGGGAATTTGCAGCGGCTTCCACTTCTTCTTCCTCTTGTAACCT